ACACACTGTTTGAAATGTGTCACTGCTCTGAGCGAGGTGACGGCAACATCTGCTACCACTTCACTCATGTGTTAAATCACAAAAGGTTATTACTCGTTCTACAACCCTCAGTGTGGCATCCTCGAAAAAAGAAAACGTGTCCTCTGGCAATGATTGTCCTGATGTGAGCATGGCAACTTGAGTGAGTTAAGTGTCACAGTAGTTTATGAAGCGTATCTATTAGTCAAGCACGCTGAATCTTCTGTATAGAAATAGTGAATGTGTCTGTTTGATGTAGGGGAAATTCACGAATTAATGAAGGTCTTGGTATGTCATTTGTTTACACCTATCAAGCCTCACAGTCCCGGCTAAGACCCGGCGTTCTCTGTGATAATTAGGATGTTTACAATGTTCGAGAGGAAACCCCACACTGCTGGAAAAAAAACCTCTGACAAGCCGATCAACGCGAGCGGGCCCTGAGTAGGATACAGATGGGAGGATCGTATCCCAGTTGCGTAGATCGATGCCCATTATGTCAGTCATTGGATTGTTTGGTCCAGACTTGATTATTTACAGACAGCCGTCATACAGCTGGAATATTGATGAGTATGGCGTTAAAAAACAAACAAACAAACAAAACAGATCGGAGCCATGAATGTCTACAGTCGCAGAACTGTGGTTGCTCCTTTGCTGCTGCAACAAACCTGATGCACTGTTGACGTGTATCATCGTATTCGACACTTACAACATCCTTTAGCCAACCGACAAGAACTGATCCAGTCCCTACGAGAAGAATGGCGACGTATCCCATGTGACGTCATCAGACGACGATCTTTTTCTGTGCGCCGGAGAGATTATGGGATTCCTGCTCTTGACATGTCAATAGCGGTTGTTGGCTGGTTGATTGATTGTTGTTTAACGCCGCACTCAGCCATATTCCAACTATATGGCGGCGGTCTGTAAATAATCGAGTCTGGACCAGACAATCCAGTGATCAACATCATCAGCATCGATCTACGCAATTGGGAACCGATGACATGTGTCAACCAAGTCAGTGAGCCTAACCACTGATCCCGTTAGTCGCCTCTTACGACAAGCATGGGTTACTGAAGATCAATTTTAACCCGGATCTTCACGGGTTTATCGGTGGTTTTGTGACAATTCACTTAAATGTTGATTTCGTTGATCTTATCAATACAGTTTACTTCATGTATCTATTATGCATCAGATTATTAGGGCTCCTTGCCACAAGGTAGGAGACCTATTGGAGTCGTTAATGTTTTTATTATTTATTATTCCGCCGTATTTTGTACCAGCCCTACAAAAAACACCGCTGGACAGAATCGTTTGAAAAAAATTACCATGGTGCCGACAGTCCTGAAGTCGTTTCTGCAAAAATCTCAAGCCTCCAGGCCCAATAGCAAAGGGGAGATAATTCAAAATTAATTCAAAATTTTCAATTTCCAAAGCAATAATCTCCGAAACTACAAGTCCGATGACTACCAAATTTCTGGAGCAGGTCTGGAATCCGATTACCTTCAATTTCAACTGAGGATCCATGGGGCTACGAGGCACCGTTTGGCCGCCATATTGGATTTAAGGAAATTTCACGTTTTTGACGGGTAGGCATTTCTGCAATCCATAACTCTGAATGTATGATGTCAAGAACTTTGCACATTTGCACATATAGAGTATATACCTCAAATATGAACATCCTCGAGCTACGTTGCGATATCTTGATTAGTTACGGATATCTAGATTTTTGGTTTTGTTGTTTATTTTTTTATTAAACTGTATCTTTAAAGAATCGCAGCGTCATTACTATTTCAACTACGCAGCTAGAATCTGGCAGCATGCAATAACTTGATGCGCTGAACGGTTTTTGTTCTTTGGTGCATGTCAAAATGTGAATCGTTTGGCGGCCATATTGGATTTCGGCCCATTCTGGTGACACTAATCTAGAAACAGCTTAGCTGCTCCGATTCTGCACAAAAAGACATGAAAATTGGTACAATGCATAAACGTACAATGTTTAACATTCTGTGTTCTTAGATGCTTATCAAAAACGGCGTCGTTTGGCGGCCATATTGGATTGAATCTTACACACATGAATTTACAAAAACAATCACAGCGTCATTACTATTTCACCTACGCAGCTAGAATCTGGCAGCATGCAGTGACTTCATGTGACTATGCATTGTGTTCATATACTGTTTCCATCGTATTACAGACTTTAAGTTTGACACCCGCCCTCAGGCTTGTTTTGCTGACCTGTAACCGTAGAAAATAAATAGTCCTCAAAATTTTCTTCGGCGTTTATTAGGCATATAAAATACTTTGTGGACGGATACTTTGAACCAAAATGTCTCACCAGATTTAACATATCTAGTACCTGACGTATATTTTTGCTGATGAAATTGCAAAATCTTGTTATTGAAACAGAAATAGTTGCTATTTATTCTGTTGGTCTCATTTCAAGAAATTACAATTAAATTCATTTTGGTTATAGTGCTAATGTAATGAACATTCAGCTGGAACTGGTATGAATATTTTAAGTCAAATTTACACCAAAGTGATTACAGTGAATGATGTCTATCTAACTGGACTGGTTCGATGTTTGAGCTGGTGGAGTGGAATTTCCAAGATTCATCACAAGCTCGATAACAATTTAAGTATATCAACAAATTCCAGGGTAATTTTCCTACATGTTCTTGAAGTTAGATCACTGGAAACGTTTGTTCTGGGTATTTTGAGAAACAGATTTGTTTTGATTAATGTTATGTGAATCACAGTGTGAATCTTGCACCTTTGTTCGCTAAGCTTACCAAATTGTCGGGTTTTTGGGTGTGTTATTTTGACGGTTTGAACAGATTGTTCTGTCATGACATTTCTTTTTTACCCCAAGACACCAAATGATATTCTTAACTTCAGATTCAAGTATGGAAGATTTCTATAAACTAATCTAAACTTACAGGACGCTAAGTACTCTCACTTCAAAAACTTTCAAATAGAAGGAAAACATTGTCATAATTGTCGGTGATGTCATTTATTCAGTTAAAGCAAATAAATAATTTGCAACCTGAAACCAGTATGCTAATTCAGTTGAAGTTATATTAAGTCAGCATCTGTTTCCGAAGCCACAAGTATCATTATCCAAACCATACCACACAATGCTTTGTATCTAACCCTCGACCATAAGAATTTACAGCTAATGGCTGAAGTATTTATCATTACTCACAGTGACACGATCCATACTAACTGTAGCCATTAATACTGTAACAAGTACGTGACAGATACAAATGGCTAGATTGTATTACGACAGAGGAGCCCCCATCGTTGCTTATTTAACAATTGTAACCAATCAGTGAAGAGTGTTGTTGAGGGAGTCGATACCATGTGTAACCATATCTACAATGGAGGGGGCGTGATTAACGTCATCGTTGATTCAGACCCACGATGGCACATGGCACAGCTGCCATGGCTAAACCACATCGTACATTAATAGATTCTCACACCCAAGCGTCACACCTCATCCCTTGTCAGATCTAGTCACCCAGGGCTATAGATGCAGCTGGCTACCTCGCCGTACTTCAGTCTGCCGCATCCAGTCCAAGATGAACGTATACCTGGTAGTCCTGACTGTGGGGGTGTGCACCGCCCTACTCCTCATGTCCCTTCCCCGAGTGGAGGGATTGACCTGTGTCCCATGCAGTTTTGTGAGGGTCAGGTGTAAGCCCCTCCCCAGTTCCTGCCAAGCTACTCCAGCGCCATGTGGGTGCTGCAAGATCTGTGCAAAGAAGGCTGATCAGCAGTGCTCCTATTTTAAACAGCATGTTTCACTTTTATTGTTTGCTTGAACGGCAGAAGTTTCAGACTTACCTTGCCAGCTTTTGCTACTGTGATCACTTCGGGGATCATAAGCGCTCTGGTCGTCTGAGACGCTGAAATACTTTTGGGATTTCCGTAAAGTATAAGGGCTCTGGTCGTCTGAGACGCTCAAATACTTCAGGGATTGCCTTGAAGCATAAGGGCTCAGGTCGTCTGAGACGCTGTAATACTTCGGGGATTTCTGTGAAGCATAACGGCTCTGGTCGTCTGAGACGCTGAAATACTTCAGGGATTCCCGTAAAGCATATGGGGTCTGGTCGTCTGAGACGCTAAAAATAGTTCAGGGATTCCCGTAAAGCATAAGGGCTCTGGTCGTCTGAGACGCTAAAAATACTTCAGGGATTCCCGTAAAGCATAAGGGCTCTGGTGGTCGGAGACGCTGAAATACTTCAGGGATTCCCGTAAAGCATAAGGGGTCTGGTAGTCTGAGACGCTAAAAATACTTCTGGGATTCCCATAAAGCATAAGGGCTCTGGTCGTCTGAGACGCTAAAAATACTTCAGGGATTCCCGTAAAGCATAAGGGCTCTGGTCGTCTGAGACGCTAAAAATACTTCAGGGATTCCCGTAAAGCATAAGGGCTCTGGTCGTCTGAGACGCTGAAATACTTCAGGGATTCCCGTAAATCATAAGGGCTCTGGTCGTCTGAGACGCTTAAAAAACTTCAGGGATTCCCGTAAAGCATAAGGGCTCAGGTCGTCTGAGATGTTGAAATACTTCAGGGATTCCCGTAAATCATAAGGGCTCTGGTCGTCTGAGACGCTGAAATACTTCGGGGATTCCAGTAAAGCATATGGGGTCTTGTCGTCTGAGACGCTTAAAATACTGCAGGTATTCCCGTAAAGCATAAGGGCTCTAGTCGTCTGAGACGCTGAAATACTTAACTAACTACCTTGCCTGGCGTAGGGCATAAAGGGGATAGACATGGAACTTATCAGGGGTGCGGTATTCATTTGTAACTTCCAGTGGGTATCTCAGTATGCAAACCCTTCATCACCTACCATTAGTCAGGTCGAATACAGACAATATCCGACATGATACATCTATTCGGTTATGGAGAAATGAAACGGGACACTTAACTGATATTGGCTATATTCTGAAACTTTACTCATTCCGTCAACGTTTTCGTTTTAGGTGCGAGCAAGGACTGGTCTGCAAGTCAAAAAAACGGTATTGGTGGTTTGGAAAAAGCATTTGCCAAACGCCAGTGAGTATCAGTGCATCTTTCCGTTATCTTTTGAGGCTAAAAGTAAGACAAAAGCAGGGTGTCCTCCCTGTAGTCAAAAGACAACCCCTTTTTGATAAGAAACGCTTCCTTTAAACATACCTATGAGACGCCAACATTAGACATGTGAATTTAGACGTTCATCTGACGCCCATATTAGACAAGTTCATTAGAAACCGACATTAGACAAGCTCATCTGACACCCACATTAGACAAGCTCATCAAACGCCCACATTAGACAAGTCCATGAGACACACACATTAGACAAGTTTATGTGACGCTCTCATTAGACAAGTACATTAAAACCCACATTCATCTAACGCCCACAATAGACGAGTATATCTGACGCCCATATTAGTTCATTAGAAACCCACATTAGACAAGTTCATCAAACGCCCACATTAGACAAGTTCATCACACACTCACATTAGACAAGTTCATCAGACACTCACATTATACAAGTTCATCAAACGCGCATACTACATTGGACAAGTCTATCAGACGCTCACATTCGACAAGTTGATCTGAAGCTCACATTAGACATGTCCATCAGAAGCTCTCATTAGACAAGTTCATCAGACGCTCACATTAGACAAGTTCATCTCATCCTCACAATCGACAAATTCATCTCACGTTCACATTCGACAAGTTGATCTGAAGCTCCCATTAGACAAGTCCATCAGATGCCCACATTAAAAGGCTCATATCAGACGCCCACGTTCGACAAGTTCATCTGACGCTCACATAAGACAAGTGGAGAAACTCCAACAACATGCGGCATGTAAGCATTGGAAGTGTGTGCAAACAACTTAAGATATCAAACGTTTCACTTATCCCTGGAAGATGTCGCCACCACATGTCCAACATCCACCTCTCCACCTGATCACCAAACCTGGTCTGTAGAGTCCCCCTTACATGGAATCACCCTGTTCCTAGATGACATAAACACTGGCTTTATTCCCTGTTCCATAGATGACATAAACACTTGCTTTATTCCCTGTTCCATAGATGACATAAACACTTGCTGTATTCCCTGTTCCACAGATGACATAAACACTTGCTGTATTCCCTGTTCCACAGATGACATAAACACTGGCTTTATTCCCTGTTCCACAGATGACATAAACACTGGCTTTATTCCCTGTTCCACAGATGACATAAACACTGGCTTTATTCCCTGTTCCACAGATGACATAAACACTGGCTTTATTCCCTGTTCCAGATGACATAAACACTGGCTTTATTCCCTGTTCCAGATCACATAAACACTGGCTTTATTCCCTGTTTCATAGATGACATAAACACTTGCTGTATTCCCTATTGCAGATGAAGGGCTAGGCCTGGAGCTCCGGCCGCAATTGTCCACCTCTCCGTACATACGGGAGCTGCACGAAGAATAAATAAGTTCTTTACCGCAAAACTCTACTGTTAGTTCTTATTTAAGCGCCTTAGAGTGATGTAGCTGCACATCAAATAGGCGCTATATAAATTTGTACATTATTATTATTTTATTTACAACAATGACCTTGAATCCTATATAAAGCGACACCTTAGGTAGGTTCTACCAACTTGTGATGCGAGTGTTTTGTAAATGTATGATTAGCATCAGAAAAACACACAGTCACGCGCACAATTCAATCACAAACGAGAGTTATTCTCAACCAAAGCAGTGAATAGCCTAGTTGCTGCTGAATTGCTGTGCGCAGAGTTCGGTCTCTTCTACGTACAAAAATTCGCAGATCCCGGGCTGGTCGAATGTCTCAACATACATGTGTACTAATTTCGATGTAGATTTATAAAAAACGCATATGAAGCTGTCTACAAAGCATACCATGGGAATGTTAATTCCTCTGTAATACTGGCCCATAATTTAGAAAATCCATACCCCGAACCTTGTGATTGAACATTCTAATGAATTAATTAATGAATATATTGATGAGGAGTGTACGGGCGGATGGGTTCAATGAGATGTCATACTTCCGCTAAACAGAGTTGCGTCCCTTGAACATGTCACCGCTCGTAAATTTATCAGTATGCGTCAAACAATCATTGCTTCCATCTTAGCGTTAAAGGGTTTAATGACCTGCGTAATTACCTTAGTAACCTTTACAATGCACAGGGGCCTACAGATCTCTTTATCAAATTGTTAACTCAAATTAAAGTAACCCCCAAAATAGTAAATGTATTTGTGCTGTAATTAGAACCATGTATTTTAGACGCCAATTATTTCTGTGATTTTATGATAGTGTCTCATAAGCCAAAAAATGGCTGTTTAAGAGTTTTTACTTATGCAATAATCATGATTTTATACTGTATTCTTAACTTGTGACACTCTATTTCTGTCTGTCTGATGTGACTTGCGCCACTATAGGGATTTATCCCGTACTACCCAAACACCCCTAGAGCGAAATTTTCAAAGCGAAGTTAAACCACTCAGTCAATGACTCACTTATTCAAACAATGATATTGATATCATAATTAGTGAACACTATCCTTTCGTATTAGATTGTGAACTTTCAAACCAAATTGAATACACGAGATCCAGCTAATCCGCAGCGTGACCCTCGTCGAAACCTGACATATCTTCCACACAATCAAGGTAGTCTAGTGGTAAAAGCGTTCGCTCGTAACGCCTTAGAACATGGATCGAATCCCATTATGGATAATGTGTCAGGCCCATTTCTGGCCTCCCTCGCCGTGATATTGCTGGAACATTGCTTACAACGGCGTATAACTAAAGATCAATTCTAACCCGGATCTTCACGGGTAAATCAGCTCAGAAAACTGAAGTGCACAAAATTTATATCCGCGCTTGGTACCTTCGCAGCACGTGAACATACAACCCATAGCTTTTGAGATATTGTGTGATGAACGTGCTTTACGTGTGAATCCCAGCATGTTTGGAAATGATCGCCTGTATTAACCCAAATGTATATACATGTCCTTGGATTCAGTTAATGCTTAATTAATGACCACGTGTATATATTCTGTCCGCTGGAAACAAACCATGTGACGATTTATTGTTGTTCCCGGATACAAACTGTTTGAAATGTGTCACTGCTCTGAGCGAGATGACGGCAACATCTGCTACCACTTCACTCATGTGTTAAATCACAAAAGGTTATTACTCGTTCTACAACCCTCGTGGCATCCTCGAAAAAAAGAAAACGTGTCCTCTGGCAATGATTGTCCTGATGTGAGCTTGGCAACTTGAGTGAGTTAAGTGTCACAGTAGTTTATGAAGCGTATCTATTAGTCAAGCACGCTGAATCTTCTGTAAAGAAATAGTGAATGTGTCTGTTTGATGTAGGGCAAATTCACGAATTATTGAAGATCTTGGTATGTCATTTGTTTAAACCCATCAAGCCTCACAGTCCCGGCTTAGTCCCGGCGTTCTCTGTGATAATTCGAATGTTTACATGTTCGAGAAGAAACCTCACACTGCTGGAAAAAAACCTCTGACATGCCGATCAACGCGAGCGGTCCCTGGGTGGGATACAGATGGGAGGATCGTATCCCAGTTGCGTAGATCGATGCTCATTATGTCAGTCATTTGATTGTTTGGTCCAGACTTGATTATTTACAGACAGCCGTCATACAGCTGGAATATTGATGAGTGTGGCGTTAAAAAACAAACAAACAAACAAGACAGATCGGAGCCATTAATGTCTACAGTCGCAGAACTGTGATTGCTCCTTTGCTGCTGCAGCTAACCTGATGCACTGTTGGCGTGTATCATCGTATTCGACACTTACCACATCCTTTAGCCAACCGACAAGGACTGATCCAGTCCCTACGAGAAGAATGGCGACGTATCCCATGTGACGTCATCAGACGACGATCTTTTTCTGTGCGCCGGAGAGATTATGGGATCCCTGTTCTTGACATGTCAATATCGGTTGTTGGTTGGTTGATTGATTGTTGTTTTACGCCGCACTCATCCATATTCCAGCTATATGGCGGCGGCCTGTAAGTAATCGGGTCTGGACCAGACAATCCAGTGATCAACATCGTCAGTATCGATCTACGACAATTGGGATACGATGACATGTGTCAACCAAGTCAGTGAGCCTAATCACCGATCCCGTTAGTCGCCTCTTACAACAAACATGGGTTACTGAAGATCAATTTTAACCCGGATCTTCACGGGTTTATCGGGGGTTTTGTGACAATTCACTTAAATGTTGATTTCGTTGATCTTATCAATACAGTTTACTTCATGCATCTATCTTTTGTTTTTTATAAACTGGGTTGATTTACATTATGGTAAAATTATTCGGACGTCAGATTATTTAATAATTGTAACCAATCAGTGAAGAGTGTTGTTGAGGGAGTCGATACCATGTGTGAAAACCTATCTACAATGGAGGGTGCGTGATTAACGTCATCGTTGATTCAGACACACGATGGCACATGGTACAGCTGCCATGGCTAATACACATCGTACATTAATAGATTCTCACGCCCAAGCGTCACACCTCATCCCTTGTCAGATCTAGTCACCCAGGGCTATAGATACAGCTGGCTACCTCGCCATACTTCAGTCTGCCGCATCCAGTCCAAGATGAACGTATACCTGGTAGTTTTGACTGTGGGGGTGAGCGCCGCCCTACTCCTCATGTCCCTTCCCCGAGTGGAGGGATTGACCTGTGCCCCATGCAGTTTTGTGAGGGTCAGGTGTAAGCCCCTCCCCAGTTCCTGCCAAGCTGCTCCAGCGCCATGTGGGTGCTGCAACATCTGTGCAGGGAAGGCTGGTCAGCAGTGCTCCTATTTTAAACCGTATGTTTCACTTTTATTGTTTTCTTGAACGGCAGAAGTTTCACACTTACCTTGCCAGCTTTTGCTACTGTGATCACTTCGGGGATCATAAGCGCTCTGGTCGTCTGAGACGCTGAAATACTTTTGGGATTTCCGTAAATCTTAAGGGCTCTGGTCGTCTGAGACGCTCAAATACTTCAGGGACTGTCTTAAAGCATAAGGGCTCAGGTCGTCTGAGACGCTCAAATACTTCAGGGATTTCCGTAAATCATAAGGGCTCTGGTCGTCTGAGACGCTGAAATACTTCAGGGATTTCTGTGAAGCATAACGGTTCTGGTCGTCTGAGACGCTCAAATACTTCGGGGATTTCCGTAAATCATAAGGGCTCTGGTCGTCTGAGACGCTCAAATACTTCGGGGATTTCCGTAAAGCATATGGGGTCTGGTCGTCTGAGACGCTCAAATACTTCGGGGATTTCCGTAAAGCATATGGGGTCTGGTCGTCAGAGACGCTCAAATACTTCGGGGATTTCTGTGAAGCATATGGGGTCTGGTCGTCTGAGACGCTCAAATACTTCGGGGATTTCCGTAAATCATAAGGGCTCTGGTTGTCTGAGACGCTGAAATACTTCGGGAATTTCCGTAAATCATAAGGGCTCTGGTCGTCTGAGACGCTGAAATACTTCAGGGATTTCTGTGAAGCATAACGGTTCTGGTCGTCTGAGACGCTGAAATACTTCGGGGATTTCTGTGAAGCATAACGGTTCTGGTCGTCTGAGACGCTCAAATACTTCGGGGATTTCCGTAAATCATATGGGGTCTGGTCGTCAGAGATGCTGAAATACTTCAGGGATTCCCGTAAAGCATATGGGGTCTGGTCGTCAGAGACGCTCAAATACTTCGGGGATTTCTGTGAAGTATAACGGCTCTGGCCGTCTGAGACGCTGAAATACTTCGGGGATTTCTGTGAAGCATAACGGTTCTGGTCGTCTGAGACGCTGAAATACTTCGGGGATTTCCGTAAATCATAAGGGCTCTGGTCGTCGGAGACGCTGAAATACTTCAGGGATTCCCGTAAAGCATAGGGAGTCTGGTCGTCAGAGACGCTCAAATACTTCGGGGATTTCTGTGAAGTATAACGGCTCTGGCCGTCTGAGACGCTGAAATACTTCGGGGATTTCTGTGAAGCATAACGGTTCTGGTCGTCTGAGACGCTGAAATACTTCGGGGATTTCCGTAAATCATAAGGGCTCTGGTCGTCGGAGACGCTGAAATACTTCAGGGATTCCCGTAAAGCATATGGGGTCTGGTCGTCTGAGACGCTCAAATACTTCGGGGATTTCTGTGAAGCATATGGGGTCTGGTCGTCTGAGACGCTCAAATGCTTCGGGGATTTCTGTGAAGCATAACGGCTCTGGTCGTTTGAGATGCTGAAATACTTCGGGATTCCCATAGAGCATACGGGATCTGGTCGTCTGAGACGCTCAAATACTTCGGGGATTTCCGTAAAGCATAAGGGCTCTGGTCGTCTGAGACGCTGAAATACTTCGGGGATTTCCGTGAAGCATATGGGGTCTGGTCGTCTGAGACGCTCAAATGCTTCGGGGATTTCTGTGAAGCATAACGGCTCTGGTCGTTTGAGATGCTGAAATACTTCGGGGAT